TTAGGAGATTTACATTCTTCCTAGTTACGTTTTGGGAATACATAATTCATTGTGTCACAGGGGCACTATTTGATTTTAACAGGGACATCGGATTGAATGTTGAGGTGATAGACTGTGAGATCTTCACTATAGTCACCATTTATGTTACCACTTGTGGTCTGTTTTAAATATTTATATTTGCACTTTGCTGCTGAGTGACTTTCACTGTGTGTTTGCTTTTAATTGTATTTTAAATATTGGACTCTACAGTTTGTTTAAGCATCTTAACTGAATATTGCCTGAACTCTTTTGCAGCGTGTTTTAACCTGTTTGTTTTCTGGATTTACTTTTCATTGTAGCAGTTTTAAAATGCTGCCTACAAGTATTTAAAAGTCATTTCTAAGTGTCAAGTAATTATCTTCCTCAGTAGGCCTACACATGTCTATTTAAACAGAAGAAAAGACGACTCAGGAAGTAGATCAAGAAAAGTGGGATCGTGAACAACACCGACTGAAATGCAACCAGTTATTTGGTGTGGAAGGCTGAAACAAAAACTGAACTTTTGGGCATAATGCTTCGCCTCAAACAATAAATACAACCTGGGATCTTCAGAGCATTTGTTTTTCTTTATTAAAAAAGTAAACGGAAGAGGCGTTTTTTGCTTTTACCTTACTAAATAGTCTAATGCTCATTGGAGCGAGGCGAATCTCACGGAAGTGATTTCAAAACAAAAGCACGCGTATGCTAAAAAATACACTTGCATTGAAGCACTACAGTATCCGGTTGAAGGAATGATGATAATATTATAAACAAGGTGAATTTAGCGATCACAACGAAAAAGCGAAAACGCCTCTCAGACGCTCTTCCGTTTACTTTTTTAATAAAGAAAAACAAATGGTCCTCGGGCATAAAGGTTTATACAAATCAACAGTGGAATAGCTGCACAACTACAATGTCTATGAGTGAAAACGTGATTAATGTGCCTAATTAATCTTACTCAGATTATGTTTAACAAATCTAAAAGAACACATTGTATTCAACACACTCCTCATGGGTTCCATAGTCCAAGAGTTGAAACACATGTTGTAAGGACAACTGCACGTATAGTAAGTGACCCCAGTCCACTGCTGACTCTCACTCACCAGCTCTGCTTTCTTGAAATCAGTTAGATTAAGCACATTGTCTATTGATTGTCTCCTAAATTGATGTGCGATACAAGACGAATAATCCCATTTCAAGTTTCAACGCTTGTTTCTAATGGTTTCTAAACCATTTCAGGCAGCAGTGGATCACAATTAGTTTAGCATTTAGCAGCCAAGAGTGGCCATGCATGCATGAGCGTGATTCTGGGCTTAATAGAGGCTGCCTTTGCTGCATTTGACATTTCCTTTCTCTGCACACTTTCTTTTGTGCAGTTCACACACATTTTTTTCAGGCATATCTAGCATGAGATGTTCAGCCACTGTGCGTGCACATTAAGCTAGGTGGTGGAATTGAATTTGAATGAAGAGCGATGGAATGTATTTATGTCTCGCCCTGGCAAAAAAAAGATGTTCTAGAGCAACAAAGAGACTGAAAGGCCCACCTCATACTGTAGACCTTTCACAATGTAGCCAGTTAAAGACCTGGTTTGGCATTTGACAGCAAGGATCTGACCCGGCTTTTAGTCCGTTTGACTGCTTGACTTTTGAAGTAAGAGTGTACATGTGTTTCAAACCGTAGAATGCTGTGATACATCTCTCAGCCCTGACATCTGAAGGTCTGGGTTCTAAAGAATCTTGAAAGCTATTTCTGCTGGGCCTCGCACGGCTTAGTACGGTATGGTTAGGCCTTGGTAGGCCAGGCTCACTTTATGCTGCGTTTCCATTACAGTTAAGTAGCTGGGGCAGTAACTATAGTAATGCACTGTAGGCGGAGCGACGCTGCGTAAAACTGCCGTGACGTCATCTTCAATGCGAACCACAAAACCAAACATCAGCCGTTAGCACTCAGAGCTCACAGCTCCTCATATCTGTTCAGAAACTATACAAAAGTTAAACAAATACAAACCACAGACTGACTGTGTCATGACGAATACAGTCGCTGGTTTATTTCATTTCAAACCTTTATTTAAACAGATTGGTCACTTGAGATCATAGATCTCTTTTTCAAGGGAGACCTGCAGCATATAGGTTCCACATGAAGAAACATAAAACAATACATTTACAAGTGCCCATAGTATCAACGAGCATTTCATTTAGCCTAGCTTTAAAAACATGCAGAGGAATGAGATTGTTCAGTTTAAATTCTTGCTGAAGATTGTTCCAAGAAAGTGGAGCTGCGCACATAAAAGCTGTCTTACCTAAGACAGTCCTTGCTCTTGGCACATCTAACAAGACTACATNTGCAAAACGGCGTCAGTTTAAAGTAATTCTATCCTTCTGTTTACCGCATCATTTATGAGAATACATTTCTTAACAAGAGAACATAATCGAGGGGTGATCAATAACATTTCCGTATTTATTTATTTCTCCAAGTTATGTTTGTGTGCACTGAGGAGTCTCAAACAGGCGTTTGTTAAATCATTTTAAGATGAATTCTTCATATATGATAAATGAGAGGTAACATTTTATTGATGGTATTATTTTCACATATTTCTCTCCATTCTTCCTTCTGCCAACGGTGTCACAGTTTCTCGTCTCTCCCGTTGTGCTTAGTGCGTACGCATGGGTTAGAGTTTGCGTGGAGGACCGCACATTTTCCCGTCAAGTTTCTTTTTTATAAATCGCAAGCATTGCGTAGAAACTGGCGTACGCCATCTTTTGAGCGTATACATGCACCGTTTATAAATGAGGCCCCTGCACCTTACCATACTTGTGTTGGTACTGTCCATACATGACAATGTTACTCAGAATCCCACCTAAACTGGGCACTTTGCACCAAAAATAAACTCTTGCTAATTACTCTTCCAAATTCACCTTCACTATCTTTCTCATAATCAGAGTATGAGCATACCAGGTTATTGAAACCCAGCTGAGATGCACGTGTTGCAACTCGTTGGACAGCAGACTTTTCTCTGCATGAAAACAGATGCACTAACATTTACTTACTTTAAGGGTAAGGCTAACCCGTGCCAGGCATCTCACAGGGAGTGGAGGGGGTCTTGGCTGAGTCTGGGCCTGGCAGCGGTTCTACCTGAGGCTTCAGAGCAGGAGAGGATAACATGGCCAACAGCTGCTTGTCTGTCTGTCTCCTGGCTAAATAAAACATATTTTGCCAAATGCAAACAGTCACAATCCACTGTCTGTATTTCACGCCTCAGTAATCTATGCTATTGTGCATTTCCATTCCTCCTTTGCACTTAGTCCAATTTAGCTTTTGACCATTTGGTTGTGGGTGTTCAGCTTTTGATATTTGGCTCACTCTAGGATTAAACGACTTTAGATAATGTTTGGTGTTATTGTGTTTCTAGTTTAACATGAATCAAATATATTCAGATGGGATGGTGGAGCTTTGAGTATCGGGTCAGTGTCGACTACAAAGGTATGGCTCATTTGCTTTTGATGATTGCTGTTGTGGTTACTCAGGCTGAAACAAATCAGTTCATGCAGAATCACTTCCCTGCTTTATTCTCTATAATTTTGAAAAGACTGAATTATTAAATGCACATATTTCCCAGGAGTTCCGGTGCTTGAAAGGCAGCATTGGATCCAAATTTAGAAGTATGCTAATATGAATACATGCACATATATACACCTACCCACACACACATTTGCTTCCAACTTTTCCTCTTAATGCTATTTTTTTCACATTTCCTGCATCACACTGTGCTGTCTTCTTGCTTTAAAAGAACAAAAATATCGAGCACCTTGCTGTATTTCCCCTCTAAAAGTCCTGCTTCCTTCTTTCTCTTTTTTTTTTCATCTTTTTGAAATGGGATACAGCTCCTGCTCATTTGTCCGGTATCTTCTGCCAAAGATCTCTGAAACAGAGTGCAGAGGGTCCCATAGGACCGTCTAGAAGAGTGGAGAGCTGAGCCACAAGCTCTGTTCTGCCTGCCATAACTTTGGGGAAAGCTCCGAACGGTAATGGCCATGCTGTGTTGTGCAGCTTGTTAGGAGAAACTTTCGAGGAGTTACCACAGATGAGTTGACCCCATATTCATTATAGAGTTAAATGCTGCACAAAAATTATTGACTTATATATCACAGATGTACTCAGGAATGGAAAGGCAACATGACAAGAAGATTACAAATAAATAATCTGATAAAGTGTCATGTGGTGCACAGTACAAATTCTTAAAGTTGCACCATTCAGTACCATGAACATGAAATCATTTGAGTATTGACAAGCCCAAATGAAAGAGGTTACAACTCTTCTTTTTCAGAATGCGTGGGATGAAGAAGAGGTGGCTCCATTTTTCAAGGTATGTGAACGACTGCTTTATGATTTTACTTGTAGGCCATACATACACAAATTAAAACGCCTATAGCTCCTGAACTACCCTGACAGGGAGAAGGAAAACGTAAACACTTTTCAATGTTACTAAAAAATTAACAAGGGTTTAGTAAAAATATAAAGTATCAAAGTATACCTTTGAAAATAATAAATAAAAGAAGAGGTCAATTAATTCTCAGGTGAATATAAGCAAGATAACTATGGTTATTCTACCATTACTTCCATCTGTCTGCTCCTCTGAGGAAGAAGCGCCTATCTGAAAAGTGTAATTAGTGCAAATAGTTTGCATAGCCACTGTAATATATTTTACCATTATAAATAATTAAGTGAGTTATTTATTTATAGTGAGTATATATAATAATTATGTTCTACTACTCACTACTACTAACTACTCACTATTATACCAAGTAGAAGCCCATCTCCCCCCTCACGGTGAATGCAGAAGTTCGACCACTGCGTCACTATTTTTTGGATTTGGGATTTGTAGTCTTTTTAAACATGTGTCTCTGCTGTTATGGGCGTCAGGAAACTACAACTTCCAGATTTCCCAATGCGGAAGTATTGAAACAAAAAACACTGAGGTTGCTGCACAAGAACTGAGAAGATGTCTCATGTGGTAAAGAAACGAAAATTGGATAAAACCCGACAGGACAGACTTTATTTTGACAGCTATACCGATGTGACTATTCACGAGGAAATGATTGCGGACCACGTCCGGACTAACACGTACCGAATGGCGATACTTAACAACAGTGAGTCCATACGGGGGAAAGTTGTGCTGGACGTGGGTGCAGGAACCGGCGTTTTAAGCATGTTCTGTGTTCAAGCCGGTGCTAGGAAAGTCTACGCCGTTGAAGCTTGTTCTATAGCCGAACAGGCTGTGAATATCGTGAAACAGAACAACATGGAGGACAAAATTGAAGTGATTCGAGGCACAGTGGAGACGGTGGACCTACCGGAGAAGGTGGAGGTGATAGTGAGCGAGTGGATGGGGTATGCCCTCCTGCACGAATCCATGCTAAACTCGGTCCTCTACGCTCGCGACAAGTGGCTCAAGCCGGGCGGCATCATCCTGCCCCACAAAGCCGAGCTCTACATCGCCCCCGTCAGCGACCCGGTGGTGGAGGACCGCCTAAATTTCTGGTACACCGTCAAAGACCAGTACGGTGTCGACATGTCCTGCATGTCCGACTTTGCCAGGGGGTGTATCATGAATTCGGACATCACTGTGAACTCGGTTCACGGGGAGGACGTGCTCTCCCACCCGACCCGCTTCGCCGAGCTCGATTTACACACGGTGACCGTGGAGGAGCTGCGCTCCGTCAAGGGGAAGTTTAACTTCGAGTCTTTCGGCTCGGCTGCAGTGAACGCTTTCTGTGTTTTCTTCACGGTCACTTTCCCATGCCCGGACAAGCCACTGCCGCTGGTGCTCTCCACGTCCCCGTTCAAACCGGAGACGCACTGGAAGCAAGCGGTGCTGTACCTGGATGCCCCGGTGGATGTGGTGCAGGACACGTTGGTCACCGGGGAGATAAGCATGTTCCCCTCGGAGGAAAGCGCCAGACATATATGCATCCACGTGGACTACACCATAGGAGAGCAGAAAAGACAGTCCAAGACCTTCTCCATCCCTGACTGGAGCAGTGGAGCTCAGTCATAGGGCAGCATCACATCCTGTGTTACAGTTCAATCACCAGGCAGCAACACACTCAAAGGCCACAGTCCTTTATTAATATATGTCACTAATTCCCAAACCTTCCCAGAGTTATTGAATAAGTGGAGCTATGTTGACCAGTGAGGTAAATCCACACCTAAAACTATAACTGATCGTGGAAAAATGACTGTCTCTTCTGTTTACAACATTTATTAGCCATATTTACCACTAAATTGAGATAATTCTGATCGTTGTAACAAACCTGTAATGTCTCCATTAATCATATGGTCTGTAAAAGGTCCTAATAAATAAGTAAATAAAATGGGTTAACATCCCAACAAGTCAAAACCTTGTTGATTTACTTTCAAATACTGTTCTTACTATTATATTATTACAGACCAATCAAAAAAAGCAAATCATAGTATCTCTAATTTTCATTGATTATTTTCAGTCTGGAAAAAAACATTTAAAGCTATATTTGAGCATCACCAAATACTTAAAGTCTCCTGACAAATGCATAGTTAATAGTAGGGTGTAGCTCTGCAAAGCCAAGTGAGGCAGGCAGGTTTTACAAATGGTTGAATAAATGCAATGCCATGCTGCAGACATCTGATATTCTATTAAATGTAATCATGCATATTGTGGGGAACCTGATCAAAATGCTGTATTCAAATGAGGTTTAAACAGATATATTGACTTGGAGCAGCTGCAGGCAGGCAGAAGGTGTTTTACATTGGGCCGTATTCAGGTTTTAATAACAAACTAAACTTGCTGATTATTTTTGTTTCAAAACTAGCACACACTATCATGTGTTACCAGAAACAACTGACTTTATCCAAAGTTGTAATTCTACAGCAGCGTCGTGCAAAATTCCATTACAGTACACGTACAACAAAGCATTTTCTTTTCATGCCATGCTTTACTTGAGTTGTGACCGTGACATTTTTATCAGTTACAATCAAGGATAACCCTTTTTTAATGAAGGTTTAAAGTTTGATAGCCACCTTTTTAATAATTTGTCACTCATGAATCAAATAAAAAATTGTATCTGGTCACTGATCAGTCATTGATTCACTGACTAACTACTTTACAGTCAGTGTACAATTAGAGGGCTTGGATTTTGAAGGGTTTGCTGTGTGATTGGAGTTTGGTGAACTGACAACTGTGTTTCAAAGATAATTGTTTATCAGTAAGTTCATTATTGAACAAATGGGAACTATACTAATAAATGGTTTGACTGTTACGTGTGTCATGAGTCCTAATTGAAAATATGTACTTATTAGTACATAGCGAATCCTGATCATGTGTCAACGTTACAACTATTTTTGAACAGCTACAATGTTTGAAAATACTGATATTGATTTTAAAAATAAGGATGTTGTGTTTTATTGAATTTAGAATGGCCAGTAACAACTTTATAGCAAAAAGAATATAAAAAAACAATACCATCATAACAATAAATAACTTGTATAATGATGACATAACCTATAAGCCAATAGCAATGTTAAAAAAAATAAGAAAATATTTCAATACAAATATATAATTGAATAATGTATCTACATTTCTTTTGTAATCTGTCAATAAAATATGATAAGCATTTCCTTGATGACATTTACACAAACGATTGAACTGTATTTAGCCTTATTTGCAACACAAGATGTGTTACCAATAATGCCTTTACTTCTAAATCATACATTTATGCATATCTATTTTATTGAACAATCTTTATTTCTGAACACACATTATTTATATATTTTATTTATTTAGTGTAGCGTTGTCTCATTCCAAAGGTCAAAGGACAATGTGTTGAATTAACCTTTGTGTAACTTTGTGCAGTGTGCATTGAATTCAAGCCATATTATGTGAATAATTAACTCATCAAGAGCTATAGTGTCTACAAATCAAGCACATTGTCTGCCCGTTTGTATAAAGTAAATAATGGCTGGGTCACATTTTTAACTTCAAATGTCTACTTTGATTAAATTGATGATGACTAGCAAGAAAAAGGGCACACATCCAAAACAAAGAAAAAAATCTTCTTAATTATACATTAGTCCTATGTGACATAACACTAATGGTGCTTTTCCACTGCAGCACGTACTGTAGCTGGGTAGCGGGCCGTGCCTAACCCGGACCGCTTTTTTTTGCTTTTCCACTAGGGGTAGTTCCAGCCCAAGGCTACTTTTTCACCTTTTTCTGGCCCTCCAAAATCGAGGTTCTTAGCGGGCCAACAACCGGGCTGAATATGCTAAACTAGTGACGTAAACACTCTCCACTGCTGAATGGTCTGAGAGAATCGCTGGCAAGGGGGCTATAACTAAAAAATGAACATATTTTACCATGATTTAATTGTAATACACGTTTCAAAAATGATGCCCAAGTAACAACATACTGATACCGGTTAGTAAAAACCATGAATTAATGCTTTGACAAGACGGCAGGCAAAAAAACTTTTAAAATACGTGTTTTCGGATCGATCAGGCTAAGCTAACGTTGTATATGCTCCAACCGTCCACACTCACAACAACGGCCTACAGACATAAATATTCTCCATATATATCAACAGTTTAGGTGAAAATGTGAATGAAGCTACTTTACATTTTTATGCGGACGATACCGTTATGTACTGTGCAGGTCCCTCCATTAAGGAGGCTGGTGTTAAATTACAGGCTATTTTTAACATTATTTAGACTCAGCTCGCGCTTAAGCTTCTTTTAAATGTTGATAAAACCAAGGTAATGCTCTTTTCAAAAGCTAAAAAGACACCAGAGCCTGTTTTAGATATTGTTACTATGCAAGGACAAGTACTTGAAGTGGTTGCCTGTTATAAACACCTTGGTATCTGGCTTGATGATTGTCTTACTTTTAAACTTCATGTCAATAACCTGCTTAAAAAGCTGAGGGTTAGGCTAGGTTTCTTTTTCAGAAACAAGTCCTGTTTCTCTTTTGAGGCCAGGAAAAGGCTAGTCACTGTGACCTTTTTACCTGTGCTGGACTATGGTGATCTGGTTTATATGAATGCACCTGCCCATTACCTGAACAAGTTAGATACCGCCTATCACAGTGCTCTGAGATTTGTCACAAATTGTAAAGCACTTACTCATCACTGTACCCTGTATGCCAAGGCCGGTTTGCCATCACTTACTGTAAAGAGGCTCAGTCATTGGTACACCTTTATTTATAAAGCTTTGTTGGGTAAACTCCTGTATTATATCGGCTCTCTGATAACACAGAGAGTTGCAAGCAGCTATTGTCTGAGATCTCATGATGTAGTCTTGTTAGATGTGCCAAGAGCAAGGACTGTCTTAGGTAAGACNAGATTTTGAATTCAGGACTTTTGATTGAAACATAGCACTTTTAAAATGTTACACCTGAAAATGAGCAGAATAGGGCCCCTTTAAGTAACTGTGGCAAAACAACATTTTAAAAGTGCTATGTTTCAATCAAAAGTCCTGAATTCAAAATCTTTACTATAGGCACTGTCACACCAGGTACTTTGCCGTACTTAGTTCCCAGTACTTAGTCCCGCCAAACTCTTTAGTCCCTTAACTGTCCTAGTAAATGGCGTTCACACCGGAATAAGTCCCTGAGGGAGGATTAGGCAAATGAAACCGCTGACGTCACTTCTTCTTCTTCTGCTTTAGGTTTATTGGCAGGCCGCAAACAACTTCACGACGTATACTGCCACCCGAAGTCCTGGAGTCCCCCGTAGTCCCCCGGAGTCCGGGACTTTGGGTGGCAGTAAATCGCCACCCGAAGCCCCGGGTAAATCGCCAGAAGCGCCGACACCTCTTCATCACTCCACCGATCCCACGTTTTATTTTGTGTTGCCATAAGTTAGTCTCTCTCCGTTGGTGCACTGGGCTAATGATAATGTTAATAATGCTAATAAAGCAAATAAAATGGCGGCTTTACAAAAAGAGTTTTACGGACGTGGTTTGCAATTCGCCCAGCCAATCACAAATTGGAACCTTTTTCTCCCCAGGAATGTCCCTGCTCTCTAGCAGGGACTAAAAAGGGGTGAAAAGGTTCGCAAAAAAAAGTTCTAGTTCCAGATTTTTTTGGTATGAACGCCTTATGAGTAAAAGTACCAAAGTATTAGCATCAAAATATACTTCAGGTACCAAAAGTAAAAGTACTTTGTTGTTATCCACCACTGTATGTCCAATCAAATGGAATACAAACACAATTATGATATCAATTTGAGTTTTAACTTAGAATTTGGCTTTGGACATTGTTAGCTTAGCATTTAGCTTTCAGCCATCAAACTACTGTTCTGATTGTAATTATCCTTACACATAATTTGTTTATCGGCTCCATCAGAGAGAGAAGGTAATTTCATCTCATGGTATGGCTTAATGTTGGAAATATAGGGACAACCAACCATCTAGATCAGGGGTGGGAAATTCATTTTCTAAAGGGACCGCATGAGAAACTGGGACTGTGGTGGGGGCCGATCCAATTCTGCTCAATACCAATGTATTTCTTTATATAAAAGCAGTATATTGTAAGGATTTGAGTAGTGTCGTGGAAATGTATAAAAGTGTCATTCAGTTAACTCGATTTGCCAAATCAACCAACCATCTAGAATCTCATTTCATTTCATTTCAAACCTTTATTTAATCAGATTAGTCCCTTGAGATCATAGATCTCTTTTTCAAGGGAGACCTGAAGCATATAGGTTCCACATGAAACATAAAACAATAAAGGACATCATACATTATATTTACAGGATACATTTACATAGTTATAGACATTTACAAGTGCCCATAGTATCAACGANCGGCGTCTGTAACGGCTCGAAGTAACGCTGCACCCACACAGCAAAACGCGTGGGGAAGTCTATAAAGGAGGCCAGTCCCGAGTGTCATGTGCAGGCCTCGAGCCTTGCGGCAACCGCTCAACAAACCCCCAATTCGACGGTGTACCCCCTGATGCGAATGGTGGGAGTCCGATTGTCGAGACACTCGCCAGGTAAGCCGAGGTACTTCGCCGGGAGCTTCCGGCCGGAATGCCTGCCATTAACCCAGCTGTTCGATGACCTACTAGTGCACCCGGACTCCTGGCGCGGAATTCCTCCATAGACGTCACGAGTGCCGCCTCAACCATATGCCAGTCGGCGACTCCCAAGGCCCCTAAGGAGGGGTTGCGTACGCCGAGGGACAGCCGCTGCCGGTGTCGCCCGAAAGGACGTCCTGCCGGCGCAATCCGAACGACGGGCTCAGGGGTGAACGAGCCGCTGACCGTCCATGAGTCGTCCACAACCCCGTTCAAATGAAGGTTTTAACATTATATAATGTATAATGAATGAATGGAGAAAAGACCTTGTCATTACTTCCAATGTATGT